GCATACTTTTGATGAATTAAACTTTTACTTATGACCTAACATATAGCCTATATATTCACTAAATAAATAAATAAATAAATAAATAAACCTCAGTTTGGAAAAAAACATCCAGCTGTGACTCTGTGAAACATGACGAAAGCATAATGAGACCGACTTCTCATCAACAAACTGACTTTGTGTACTTCTTTTTCTCGTTCTCGCACACATACACGCAGTCACACACGGGTTGTCTCTCTGATGAGATATCATTTTGTCATTTACCATGCTGCGCAACAAGATGTATCTCCTCCACTAATGCATCAGCGACAGCAGCAGTTCTGTCCTTGTCTGCTCTCCCTCAAGGCTACAGCGGGCGAGGGTTGGCGGCGGAGGAGGCGAATGTGGCCGCTGCTGCACTATAAATGACTGCGCTCTTTCTCACTGTCAGACCGCCTTTACACACGCGTACGTGTTGCTCTCTCTCTCTCTCTCTCTCTCTCTCTCTCTCTCTCTCTCTCTCTCTCTCTCTCTCTCTCTCTCTCTCTCTCTCATTAACTCATGGTTTAATGTATAAGAAAAGGTATGTTTGTCAATTGCTTCATTTTATAGAACAAGCAAAAAAAAAAAAAAAAAAAAAATAGATGTGTAGTATGAGAAGAAATATTGATGGAGAAGTTTTATTTTTTTTGTAGCTGAATTAGCTAAAACACTTTTTGATGTATAAAAATATTTCCTAAATATTTAGAATAAAGAAATATGACATTTATTTTTAAAATACAAATTTATTACATCCTTTATTATTTGAAAAAAAGCTGTAAATTAAAAAGTTGTAGCCAACTGTAATTTATTAGGCAAATTACAAACTGATCAGCACATTCAACTTTCCTCTGTCAGAATTTGGCCATTTGAATAATAAAAATGTAAAAATTATAATGATAACTAAGAGCTTCACAAAGTTTCTAGCCTCTCTTGTAAAAGTGCTGCACACATTTTTATTGGTCATCTTTTTGTTTACAAATAAGGTCCAAGATTTGTACAATAAAAGTTACTTATCAAATGTTTTTTTAAAAAAACATAAAGGAGTTTTTTGTGAAAGTATTTAGAAAAAAATGTAAGCTCTCTTTCTGAGGTCTGAGACGATAGTGTCGCTTCATTCAGTATTATTGTATACGTCATGTTTAATTAGTTTTTATGAAGCAAAGAGAGAAGTTAAATTAAATTAAAGAATGATTAAGATGTATCTGCTCACTCATCATATATACACACTCATATATTTTAAAATTGTACTTTTGCAAAAAAGTTTTATTGGCATCCAATTTTTAATTTCTGTAGATGAAATAATATCGACTTTGTTTATTTTTATTTAAAAAGTAATAAATATGTTAATAAATATGTTAATAAAAAAAAAAAAAAAAATATATATATATATATATAATATATATATATATATATATATATATATATATATATATATATATATATATATATATATATATATATATTATTTTTT